GCTGAACAAGAGAATGATAAGTAAGATTATGTACCCAAAGAAGATTAAAGGTAGATGTAAGGCTCAGCACAGTCATTTCCTAAACCCAGCCAAGCAATATTGTCCTGAAGGGAAGAAACATACTAGCCTATATATAAATTTTATTAGCAATCAGTCTTGTTCCAGGTCTTCATTGTACTTGTACTGTAAACACGGATTCATATACTACAGAAGTTAAGAAAGATTATGGACTGAATTCACCTATGTGATAACATAATGCCAGGTATCACCCCAGTATTACCCATAGGAGACAACAGTCTATATAAAAAAAAAAATCCAAAAAGCTCAAAAAAAGTCTAGTTTTAAAGATTATATTGTTAAATTGAGACTATTTAATACTTCCACATAAGGTGGGGGGAGGTGTGTATGTATATAATCAATGCCTGTGTTATGCAAATACACACACAGAGATATAGTCAGAGTTCATAATCAACTAACAGATGAAAGCTGGTTAGCCAAGCCTGCATCACAGAATTTTTGGCAGGGATTTCAGGGACTGGGTTCTATATATTCAAACTGATTGCCTATCAGCACTTACACATGAAACTACTTTTATCTTATGTTAAGGTTTTCTCCTATTATGCAAAAGATACGCAGTCTTATTCTTAAGTTTCCAAGCTCAGTAAAGTAGTTGTTTTTACACCCTGCAAATAGCTTTCTCAGTACATCTCTTAATGACCAGTATATACTTCAGCAATGGCAGCAGCACTGACTCAGAGCATACAGTATGGTTTTACTACATGCTTATTGCACTGCAGTTTTCATTACCCAGATAGAAGAGCTTCTTCAAAACAGGCCTCAGCAATGCCAAGGTTTCCACGGGGATTTACTACTCTATAAAATACAGAACCATCCCTGATCCTGGCCAAGTTGAAAGTGTTAAAGGTGATTAAATAAGGGTTTATTAAACAAAATTATATTTGAAACATTTCTTTAACGTTTTGTTCCCTCTTTCATACATTAATACTCATACTTTTGTTTCTAAATGGAGACAGCTCTTGTTCCTTACTAGTCCACATCATAGAATCATGGAATACCAGGTTGGTATTCTGGCAAGGATCATCTGGTCCAACCTTTCTTGGCAAAAGCATGGTCTAGGCAAGATGGTCCAGCACCATGTCCAGCCGAAAAGCACTCTGTCCAGCCGAAAGACCCCACCAGTTCTGCCTCTTGAGAGGAGTCCTTACTGAATATAGGATGCCTACAGAACAATGACAAGGTGCTCGTGTGGCATTCATCGTGACTGTAATCCTAACAATCTTTTCCCTACTTGACCAGGAGACCTCCTGGCTCTGCCAAGGAGTGACTGCATAGCAGCAGAACAGCTGTGCCTCTCGGACTCTACCTGCAATGTCACCTACAGGATCCTGGAAAACTGTGCCCTTGCTAAGACTCGCTTCCTTCCACTGGATCATGATAGCAGGGTCCGGTGTCTGAATGCAGAGCTAGACCTTGGAAACAGCTCTTTGCTGCACTGCAAGTGTCACCGGCGCATGAAGAGACAGGAGCACTGCTTACGCATTTTCTGGACCGTTCACTCCAGCATGACAGATGGTGAGATGAAATAATATGTATTTACAAGGTACTAGTAAGGCTTGCCCCTGCCCCCATCTGCAAACAACTGTGAAAGTCCCAACACTGCAGGTATCACTTTGGAACCACATCTAGTGAAAAGGAGTCATTACTGTTCTGTTTGATAAGCAAAGAAAACTGATCTGGTCTGGGGCTGGCCCTTCAAACACACCAGTGACCGTAAGAGACAAAATCTACTACAAAGCTACTCTGAGGCAGTTAGATTTAGTGCTGTAAGGGGAGACTGCTGTGAAAATCACCTCAAAATGGTCACATCTGTCCATCACTGAAAACAGATGTGTGATTAGGACACACACTGTAACAGCATCCATGAGCATGCTGTTTCTTTCCAGCTTTAGTGGGACGCTTCTACTTGGCCTCCCCACTGAAGACTGCCTGTGCTGCACATCTCGCTAGTACTGAGGATGGAAAAGAAACAAAAGACAACATAGACCAAATTCCAGCCAGAGGAAATCCGATGAGAAAATGTAATGCTGTTTTTACACAGTAATACCTTTGCACCTCCAGTAGAACCATTCTTGGCATTTGGCTTTGAGCAAGACAGAGTATCTCTGAACTCCAGCCTGAAGAAACAGCCAGGCACAAATAAGAATAAAATAAATTAAAAAAAAAAAAAGCTGGTCACAAAGCATTTCTCCCACTGCATAAAATATCTTGTATCTTGCCTAGGTTATTTCAATTTGGAGACCTCTCCCTATGAGAATCCAGCAAATGAAGAACACTGGAAGACAGATTATAATAAACTGGCAGCTCTGGTATCAGGTAAGGATTGTAACGGTTACATGGTATAATGCTGCCCTTTCTTACCTTTTCAGGTGCTGAAATGCCTGCTCTGAATACTTGCCTAAATTTGTCTCCACTACCAAGTGTAAATATAGCCACAGATCCAGGCCCATGAAGCAGGGAATCACCCACAAGGATGCATTCTCTGAAACAAACACATGAAACAAACATGAACCAAAAAAAAAAAAAAAATTTGTAACTAGTATAGCTGCAATGTCATGCTGCAGGCACATTAGCAGGACTGATTTGCTTGGTTCTTCTTGATGTTCCCAATCTGGCCATCAAGTAAAGGCTACTCCTATTTCCGCACAGAATCTCTTCTGGAGACTTGCTTCATTGTTTCCTGTTTCTTTTGGCTTTATAGGCTCACAGTTAGCAGGAGATGCAACGAATCCATGCCTGAAAGCAACTCATGTCTGTAATCTGAGCAAGAAGTGTGTTCGTCTGCGCACAGACTATGCTTCTACCTGCACCAAGGGAGCAGGAAGCGACGATGTGTGTGACCGTCGCAAATGCCACAGAGGGCTAAGGAATTTCTTTGAGAAAGTCCCTGAGGATTTCACCAAAAGGATCCTATTCTGTCCATGTCAAGATGAACTTTGTGGAGAACGACGCCGGAAAACTATTGTTCCTGATTGTTCCTTCCAGTATAACATCAAACCCAATTGTCTCTGGCTTCTGGACTCCTGCTTAGAAGACCATATCTGCAAGTATGTCTGGCAGCAGCGGACATCAGCCAAGAGAAGAGAACAGCATAGATACTGATAGTCTCATTTTCCTTCCTACAGATCCCGACTGGCTGACTTCCAACAAAATTGTCAACCTGCAGACGTGTCTCCAGATGGTTGCTCTCAGCACAGCCATGCTGCATGCCTGCAGGCTTACATGGGGATGATTGGTAAGTGATAGCCACAGGAACATACAGGGTAGATGCTTTCAGGCCACAAACTTGCAGGCACACTCCGATGCTACGAGGGACCATCTTGCTCTCCTGCAGGAGATAGTGCTCAGTACACCAGTGAATATGCCTTAGCCTAATTGATGCTAGTGCTCCCTTTTGCTTCTGAGGTAAATGCAATCCAAAGAGAACTCGTCCATGGCATTTATCACTCTACTTTGTCCCATCCTCTGCTGTTAAATCAGCAGCACTTGTCTGAGATTTTTGAACACCTGTTTGCATCATCAGCTGGTGCAAAGTGCTCTAAATGCCTGGCCAGCAGGGCTCT